AAAATGGAAAGTTGCTGGTCCGCGAAAAAGGCCGTAATAGAAGAGTTAAGTTTGAAATCTTCTTGTCGCGCATGATTAAGGAACATTAGGGAAAATTAAAGCCTTCAGCTTTTCCCGCTTCCGAGTTAGCAGTTTTCCCATCAAAATTTTCACATGTCTGTGCATGAGCACCGGATGGTTTTAAGGGGCTGAATTTGAAATCTTTTGCTCGTACATGAGTGGGGAATATTGCCATAAAGTCTCAGCTTTCTAACTTTCCCCGTTCGCACCAAAATTTACACGTGCTAGTACGTAGGCCCGGGCGCTTCTAAACACCTGATCTTGCTCGCACATGAGTAGGGGACATTTCCATAAAGTTTCAGCTTTCTAGCTTTTCCCGTTCCCGGGCTAGTAATTTTCGCGCCAAAATTTCCACATGCCCGTACGTGAGTCTCGGGCGGTCTTAAGGAGCTGAGTTTGAAAATTTTTGGTTGTGCGTGAGTAGGGAACATTCTCCCAAAGTTTTAACTTTTCAGCTTTTCTCATTCCCGAGTTATGAATTTTCCCACCATAATTTTCACGTGCCTGTAAATAAGTCTCGGGCAGTGCTGGACGGCTGTATTTGAAATCTTTTTGTCATACACGAATAGGGAACATTACCCTATGGTTTTAGCCTTCTAGCTTTTCTCGTTCCCGAGTTATCAATTTTCTCGCCAAAACTTTCACTTGTTCGTACGCGGCGTCTAGACGTGCGTGAGAGTTTACACCGCAGTCCTGGAATGGCACCTGGCTGGGGAACATACTGGCAAAATTTCAGCTTCAAAGTTTGTGCTTTTGGCGAGTTGAAATACCCGGACAGACGAACACACACACAGACACACGCACACGCACGCACGCACATACACATACACACACAAACAAACATACACACACTGACATGGTCGTTGCAATATGCGTTTTCGCTGCCCGTTGCAGCGTTCTAACGCTACACGACAAAAATGCATAAAAAGTGCGAACACACAGACACACACACACACACACACACACACACACACACACACACACATACAGAGCCTCTTCTCAATATGCATTTTTATGCGTTTTGTGCTGCGTAACAGCATTACAAAACGCATATTGTCACGGGTGTGTGTGTGTCCCACATTTTGTCCCGCACTTTCAACTCGGAAACCACAAAAGCTAGGCGGCTAAAATTTTGGTACAATGTTTCCCGCCAACGTGTGACACGGCAAATTAAAATTCAGCCTTCCCGTATCCGGGGGTAACACGTACGGCCCCGTAAAAGTTTTTCCGGGTAAAATTATTATCACTAGAACCGCGTAGGCTAGGAGGCTGAAATTTTGTGAGCATATCTCACGCCCATGTGCTACCCAGAAAATTTAAATTCACCTTTCTCCTGCCAGCGGGTAACATGTACCGCCCCTTGAAAATTTTTGACGGGTAAATTATTGTCTCAGGAACCACGGAGTCTAGGAAGCTGAAATTTTGGGGTTGTAACTCCGTTGTGACCCCTTGCTCACGAACGATCTTTCAAGTAAATATTCAGTGTTCCCACGCTCTCGGGTACCACCTACGGGCTAGTGAAAATTTGGGGGAGGAGGGGGGTGAACTATTAACTCGGGAATCACGGGAAGATGTTCATCCTTCGAGGTTTCAAATTCAGCTT